AGAGTGTCCCACAAGAGTGTCCCACAAGAGTGTCCTACAAGAGTGTCATTTGGACATATGTAGTATTTCCAACGTGCTTGCATTGGGGTTCGTGGGTTCCATCTTGTTTTAATTGTCAAATTAATTTGACAATTACCATATACTAACAGAATTGTTTTGTAAATGTTAGTTCTATAGAGGATCCTTGTACTAATCAGGGTCCAACATTACAATCAAATACCAACTCCTGTTTTCAGAAGCCCTATACATACAAGAAACATTCACATGGCACAGAAGAAACCGAGACAAAGTACAAGTAGAGGTGGATGGTTCCATGGTTTCCAGCTGGTGCAGCGTCCCACGAAGTGAAGTAGATACAGAGAAGAACTTCCACGCAAAAAATGCGATGCAGCTGAGAAGCTGCTGGGGGCCTTTCCCTCCAACACCCTCCAAGCCGCGGTGTATGGACCAAATTGGGGCAGGGTTGTGGTAGAGATTCCTGGAGCGCCCTGGAGCATCGTTGATGTTGTTTCGCGGTACCACACGGCGTTGAAACGTCGTGCCACCGACGAGCACCACCGTTTCGCGCCTGCCATGAGTCAGTGGGACCGGAAAGTAGAAAAGCAACACAAATTTGACTAAACCACCAAGCCACTTCACTCGTTGCACTCTGACTCACATGGAAGTGGAAAAGACTCCCTTACGAACAGGGGTTCTCCATGTTCTCCACTTCCATGTTAGTGAGTCGGATTGTATACTCTCATAGGTCCTTAGCCCCTTTGGTTCATAAGGGTTTATCGGCTCAACTACTAAACGCGTAGGTTCTCAGGACAGGCAAGAAAGCCAGTCGTGAGTCGCTAAGATTCCCTGATTGCTACGCCGTAGATGATCCGGTGGTTTTTGTTGCCCGGCGGTGATCTGGTCGCAGGCTTGGGCGGGGGCATCCTGCTGAGCCCTGTCCTCATCGAGGTTTCCTCGGGGATCAGCCAGAGAGAGAATGGAAATGCGAAGGGGTTTTGGAAGAGTTCGGGGGAGCCGCATAGCCAATGAGGCACTCGATCAGTGGCTGCTGTCCAAGTTGTGTTGGAAGTGGAGGGGTGAAACTGAGAGTCTGGGGGTGGCTCGGTTTTTCTTTGTAGATTGGGTTCCGACAGGTGTTGCAAAGGTGGAAGGGCATCCAAACAAGAGTAGGTTGTGAAACGTTGTGTTTGACCAGCTGGGACAGGCTGTGGTCTTCACATGTTTTTTCTACCGTGGGCATGTGGAGGTGAGTTAATGTTCGTTGGATATATGACCCAGGTCCCATTGTTCTGAGAACCATCAAAACTATGGTGGTTTTAGCAGGCAGCGTGCTTAACCAGAGTGCCTCCTCTTTAGATGAAACACGAGTATTGACACTGATCATTCGTAATCGTCTCACTGTATCAGATTCTTCAAGCATCTTCAAAACACACCAAAGAAGGACACCTTCTTTTGATTTTGTACTCTTAATGTTTGTTTGGGCATCCAACTCTCATTTGTGGGGTGATCCCTCCCTCATCATTGCTGAGCCCGATGTTTGGTGAGAGGTGGGTATGCACAGCGAAGCAGTGCAGGCCGCAGGGTGTCACCGCTCTTCATGTTTCATCATGTGGATGTTGTGGTGGTAGTTTGGAACAATAAACCAACTCCTGCTAGTTGGGGGTTCCTTTTGAGTTGCTGGTGTGGTTGTCCATCTAAGGTTGAAGATGGTGGCATTGGTTGAGGACTGTGGACCAAACACCAACCAGAGGTAAAAAAAGATCAATTCAACATCTATGGCCTGAGCAATGCGACTAGTGACGAGTGTGTCAGGATATATGGATCATATCACCGGTTTCTTTTCGTTGTGTTTTTGCAGCTCCAGGTCCAGGATTTGATTTTTGCCGGTCCCGGCAGGTCCCAAACTTCAACAGGCAGGTCATCCACTTCAATTATCATTTGTTACACAACACTGTAAGTATTTCCCCAAACAGTGGACTTGGGAATGCTTCGTTGTTGTCCCACCTGTTTGGGCTCTACGGTGGTGTATGTTGTTTCCGATTCATGATCTTTTTGTGATTCTGTCTTGTCATCGGTCATGCTCCCAGTGATGCTCCGACTGCCCGGTGGGTCCAACAAAAGATGTTCACTCGACCTGTCGAGTAACGCGCAAGCACCTGGGTCGATTGGATTTTTCGTTTGACCTGTCTGAGACGAAGACATCGCGATCCAACCACTGTGGTTTTGGGAGGTCGGCTTCAACCAATCGTTACGTACGAGACAGCCGTTGTGGATAAGACTTGGCTCGGCTGTTGGTGTTTTGGTTGACTGCTCAGTATGTTGGCAAACCAAAAAATATCAACAGCTCCTCAAACCACATTCCATGTCCATGTTTTAAAGATTTTTTAAGCACGGATCGTTGATCACCTCCCCATCACCAGGCACCGGTCGGTGGCTTGATCACCTCCTTCCCCGTGGAGCGACCGTTGAGGCCACCGTTGCGAGCTTCGTCTTCCTGCTGGGGCGCACAGCGCACAGCGCACGTGGGTGGTTCGAAGAGATGGAGAGCAGACCTGGGCAGGAGCTGAGTTGTGTACCCGGGCAGTCGCCAAAAGCGGATCGCAGATGTATGTGTAGTTTGTATGTGTTTGTTTGTGGGCTGCGATGACTGCGGATGAAGGCGATCCGCTTGTCCGTCATCGTTAGTGTATTACTAAGAAGTGGAGGCTTAACAGTCACCAATCCCCTTTGGTTAATCGCTGAGGATTGGCACAGGTTTTGGTTCTCCGTGAGTGGGATAAGTGGGCCGCGGGCCTGTATCTGGGATTTCTACACTATCGCAGCAAGCTAAGAGGAGAATCCTCAAAAGAGGACTCGTTTTAAGAGGCCGAACAACAAGGAAACCGCACTCAAAAACAGGATCGACCGCATCGCCCAAAAAACCTTAAGATGGACACGCAACTTGCAGGGCCTTTTTCCACCCTTCCCATCCATTTTCAGACCGCATCGCCCATTTTCGCACGTTCGAAGGGCTGACTTTTTGAGTCACTCAGACGTGTTCCATTGCCGAAATCCTACACACCGGTGTGTGGCTTCGCCATGCTTCGCCATGCAAATCGTATGTTTTGATGGTTTCCTCATGTTTCCTTGTTGCTTTAATTCTTGGTCATGAACTCCAGGGACACGTGCTCAAGAAAAGCATATCCAGTGGACCATCGAAATTCTACCACTCCGGTCTATTGGGGACAAAAACACATCAGCCAACATGAGATCACGAGTGATCCTGAACAAAGTCGAGATCCTTTTGTTCTACAGCAGACTGTTATAGTAGAAAGAGTCGATCCAAACAGTCTGTGATCGATCCAAGCAGTTTGTGATCACTTCCAAGGGTCCAATGTGATTGGAAGTTTATGGTCACTTCCAGTCGCTAGGGATCTCCACTCCCCCTAGATGCGCTTGGTGGCATCCTCGTCCGCCCAGGTCCAGCTCTTTAGCCACCATCCAATACTTCATGATGGGTCAGACGCATCCTCAGCATTTGGGTCAAGAACTAGCTATACAGTAGTTACTTTTTTTGACAAGGCTTCGTTGTAGATTGTAGACTCTCTCTCTCTCTCTCTATGTAGCTCTCAGATTCTCATGATCTTCATGCCCCCTCACTGGCAATCATTGTACACCTCGCTCATGCATCTTCAAAAAGCACTTCATTTTTGAACTCAAGACTCAAAAACCATTACAAAATATATTCCTTTGAACCCAGGCAGCGCCCGAGAATTCCAAGAATTCCTGTTGGAAGTCATCTTCGGCTCTCATCTCTCCATCCTTCCATCCGAGGATCGTGTGGCACTACGCCGTGTGGTACGGTCTGGTGGCGGTGCTCGCCACCTTTCTGGGGCAGACTGCGTGTGAGGCCGGGCCATTGGGGGCGAGCTGGGTGACATGTGCCGGGTGACATGTGGCGAGCTGAGCCTCTTCAGAACACAGGTTGAAGCAGTATAGGGGTAGGAGGAAGTATGCAGTTGGAGTGTTTGGCAGGATTCAGTGAAGCAACACCTTAGAGTTGGAGTGTTTGGCATGGCTTACAAGCGATGGAGGGAGAGACCGCTGTGGTGTAGAAACTGGGGGAAGAAGAGTCTCGTTTGTTCCAGTTCTGAACACCGAGGCACTGGAATTAAGAACAGTAGCTTTTAATGTAGACTCGTGATTCATAAACCCTTCATATGAAAAGGGCTTTACAATCCCAAACCATTTATGAATAGATGGTGCCTTTTTTCCATGGCCGCCACTTGGCGGATGGGTCACATGACACATCGACGTGATTCACTGGTCTTGGGCCGTCTTGTGATTCACCGGTCACCGGTGGTCACCCAAACCGCTTCGTGGTGAGCCGGGGAGGTTCTGATGGACGCAGCGAATCCATGGGACTGGCATTTGAAACCATACGGCCTGACCGGGAGTCAGGACTGCCACACATGGAGTGACGTCCTCGCGATGCGTATCCCAGACACGACACTCATGGGACTGGCATAGGACTGCCGATCAGGCCAGGGGTGGTTGACTGGGGGTAGGCATATATTGCATACATGGAGTGTTTGGATGTGTTTGGGTATAGTTGTTTTTCATGTGTGTTTTTGTTTTTTTCCGACTTTGAGTCATAGTTTCAAACCGGAAGGAACATGTACCAGATGACTTCTGATATCAAGCAGATCTGTGGCAAAACAGTCCGTAGTTCCGCGGTATAGGTACACAGAGAACCACCGCGCATCCGACTCATCAAAAACCCCTGTCTACGGCAGCCAGGTCTTCATCCGTAAGCGCCGGCGCTATTCCTTCATCACGTTTGGAGCTCAGATGGTCGCGGGATCTGAGCGAAAAGCGCCGACTTTCTGAAGGATATCAGTGGAATAGCACCACGGATCGAGACCACGCACTCTATATGTTTACTTTGGTTCTGAACATTTCTTGTCCATGAACCAATAGGTCCACAGGTCGTTGGGCCTTGGAAAGAAGTATACACGGAATGTTATTTCAGTGATCTTCCAATGAATGACTGATTTCCACAGATTTCAGTGAATCCCCTACACATGTTGCTTACAAAAGTGTATACAACATCTCTGAAACATAGCGATCTTGCTCCTAGCGATCTTCGATCACCCGCAGGCTCTCGGTCTCCTCGGTGCTCTTCCTGTCGTTGGTGTGCCTTTGCGTGGTGGGCACCAAGACGGTGCCTCGGTGTTTGTCGTGGAGTGCCTATAGTTGGTGGGTTCCTTTTAGGACATGACCTTGCTATTCTTGGATCTTGATTAGTAACCCTTTCCAGTTTTGGATTGAAGAACTTCTTCATGTGCGGGGGGTTATTAATCAAGATCCTACAGTAGACCTGAACACAGAGGTGTTCTTCTACTCGGGCTGGGGCTGGAAGAACCAGGTAGACCCCCGAACAGGTACGGTACTTGGGCTGGCCATGGCTGGCCGAACCGATGTTGCTCCACCACAGGTGATGCACGACTACGACATGGGCAAACCGCTGACCTTCACTTTCACTCGCCTTTGCCGCTCAGCTTCGGGTGAAGACGATCGAAGATTGGTGGAGAGCCTGCACTGAGACACACAACTGCCTCACGTTTAGCGCGCTTGTGTAGAGGGAGACTGCCCCCAACCCTTAGGATCCCGCAAAAAATCTGGGAAGATCAAAGAGAGTGCAGGTGTCTCATGTTTTCTCGCTTGATCACTTGAGTCATTTTGAGTCTATTAAATTTATTAAGAACAAAACGCAAGTCGATGGGGTCACACCCCAAGAACCACCCAATTTGCGACTCTCGCGGGGGGTGAGAGCTGTCGGTTCTGCTGGTTCAGGCCAGACCGTAGGGTAGGTTGATGGTGCCCAGGACCGGTGATGGCATAACTTGGGGTTGAGGACAGAGTACTGCACCTGTACCAGGACCCTCCTGGCCAGGCTGTTTGGAGACCCTAACAGGTAGTTTCTGGACACCGGACTTGTCACCAGGAAACACCTGTAGAGTCGGATGCTGGTATATGGGGCCGGATTACCACCCGACTAATTAGGTGCACGTAGGCTACCGGCTAGTACCGTATGGCTGTTTGAAGCGTAAAAAAAAAAGCTTACTGTAATTCTTAATTCGAAGAATGCAGTCTAGACTAGCCGTGTCCATGAAAACCGTGTACAAAAGAAGTCAAATGCAACCGACGTCCACAAATTCTTTACTTTTGGCGTCCACGAGATCTTGAGGCACCTCGCAAGAGAAAACTCTGGATATCATATGAGCAAGGCCAAACGCCTCCGAAGATGAAGTAAAGGCCTTGTCATATGGAACTTGGGCGTAAGCAAAAAACTGAAAAGCGTAAGGTTGCGTTGTGAGACATGTTGCGTGACAGCTTGCCATATCGGTACTGACATTGGGTCAATGTCGGACCGAGTCCAATCGTCGTGCCTGGGAGAGATACATCGATAGACGTCGAACCTCCGCGGGACGCGGTCCGCGGGACGCGGGGACGCGGGGACTTCCGAGGCGAAAGTGGCCGCGGCTCGATCATCCGGCCCAACATCGCCATGGGCCGCTTGGGCGAACTGGAAAACGCCGGTGGCCATTGGCCGTCGGTCCGTCCGGGCGAGCTGGGTCTGGGTCGGCCTGGGCACGATGAGGCCTCGCCGTTGAAAGAGACCAAAGGAGACCAACTGGACTGAAGTGCCAAAAATGGTGGTCCAAATGGTTTCGTCCAAGCCTAAGCATAGAACAACATATGAACACAAATCCAAACTGCCCTGAAAAGAGAGGACTTTATCCTTTGAAACCACGGTATGCAACACCCCGACGGATCGCGATGCTTCATCGGATTCGGGTCTAGACCGCGACGGATCGAGGCCACGATATCGCGATGCTTCATGCCGGAGCCCATCAGTGAGAGGGCAAAGTCCTTTCCGAAACGAATCAAATGAGAAAAGCCAACTGAGGACTCAGGAGGTGGGCGGTGTGGATCAAAAATCAAGGTCTAAATGATATACACATACAGGCACTACTGTGGTCTACTTATAGTCTATTAATATAATTCAATGGCCACAATTCATAGGTCATTAGGCGACTATATATATATATATATATGGTTGCTTGATGTTTCATTCTGGTTTGGTCGGCTGGTTTGCAGAGTTCAACTTTGCAAGTGTTTTGGCGGATCAAAATGGTTTCAAAGATGGAACTTCATCATACAAGTGATATTCCTGTGCGATGCAAGTGATATTCGTGTGCCCCCCCGCACGCATTTTTTCTGCACATTTGGCTCAGGGGTAAACTTGCACAGCCTGAAAAGGGGAAGCTCACCTGACCTCTTAAAGACGTTTCTACTCGTACCTGCAAGATCATAAAGCCACCCTCATTCAGTCATCACTTCACAGTCATCTCACCATCCCAACAACAGCTCTGAGATAATGGAATGAATTCACTCGGACTCACTGATGCCGGACGCTCAATGAGGAGAGATGCTCATGAGCAAAGCACGAGCTACTACATGAGCTATTTCTGGGAGAGTGTGGAGAAGTAGATCATAGGAACCCAGAACCCTGCAAATCCCCCAACCATTTTTCCATGCGAGCAAGGCCCCTTGCGCCGAAATCTGCAAATTCCACACCTTGCCATGGCCTGCCATATGGCCTTGCCATGAGATGTCCTGCTCATGCTTCAGTGGCTTTGGCAAGATCGACTGCGGACACTGCGGGAGGAGATGCTGGGCGTTGTTGAACCAAATGATTCGCCACCGAGCCAACTCTCCTCGAAGGATGTTTGCCATACTGCACGTCTTCAGCCAATTGAAAAGCAAGTTGGTGGTTCACAGCGTGAATACCATCTCCTTGGGTGGATTGGGGTGAGTTCTCAAAAATGGATCCCCAAAGTGGGGTTGAAAGTTGAAAGCCCGACGGAGCTGCGGAAGGAACACGGAACTCATTGTGTTCGGGCCACTGGTTGACTATGGGGCAATCGGAGGCACTTGGAAGTGGAAGCTGTTATCGGAAACAGTTGCAGCAAGAGCTCCTTGAAGAGATGACTGGGGGTGCCTGTCCAATCCCTTCCATGTTCAGCGGATTTACCATTGTAAACGCCAATGAACATCGACAGTGGGTGAGACATTTCTGGTTGGTATGCCCACCCCAACAGCAACAATCACCGTAGTCGTAGTATCTCACATAGTTTTGTAGTAAAATCCCCAGGGTTTGCTTACTGCAAATATGTGTTTTTCTTCCATGAGCAGCGGGGAGAGGAACGGGCCACCAGTTTACCAGGGAGAGGAGCGGGACTGATCTTTCCCTCTGGAGAAGGGTCATCCACATGCTGCCCCACTCAACAGGTGGCTGAATTGCTGCGAAATTGCTTCAACCCTCCAGATTTGGTGCCTGGATTTGGCCAAAAGACGGTTGCTGAGGCGGGCTTTTGGCGAGCCTGCGCGAGCTTTGGCCAGAGGAGAAGCCGCGCTGGGCCATTCAAGCGCCTTGGACAGAGTGTGCTCGGCCCTGTTCCACCAAGATCAACTCAAACATTTGGCTTCCGAAACCGTCACACAGCGTATTGTTGGAAGGGGATTCACTAATACATCTACTAGCTACTATAATATATTCTATCATGCTCAGAAGGTTCATGATTCTGTAACAGTGTTCCCAGCCATGCCTTGTTTGGGTAAAAGCTCCCAGCACCATCGACGGCCATCGGCCAAGCGCCGAGGCGGAAGATCTCCGTAGCTTGGCTTGGAAATCTGTGCAAAACCGGTGCGACCAGGGCCCAAGAGAGTATTCCTAGGCTTCCCCTAGGCTTCCAAGACCATGTAAAGATATGTAAATAATGGTTGACCTGGTGTTGTAGTCGTTCGGAATTCAGACTACTATATCTTCCTGATGGGCCAGGAAACCGTGGGCGAGTATGAATGAGTCATCCAGAGCTGGAAGTGGGGCCGTGGGGCTGGACTATTTGTTGTCAAAGTGTTTGACACGGACAGATTCGCACCTTCTATTCCACACGGGAATAGAGCCTGGGGAGATCTTGAGCCTTTGGAACATGACTTTGAAGCTGAACTGGGCTGGTTCTTTCGCAGGTCCTTTCCAGGTCACCGCCCAGCAGCGTCGCGCGCGTCGCACACTCGCGACCGGCACGGGACGAGGCCGGCTCAGGGCGTCCAACCCCATCACGGCCTTCACACGCTACCACGGCGCTGAGTCGGGACGTAGGCGGGATGGGCAGAAACACATGGGCTGGGCTGAAACACATGGATGGGGGTTGGGTTAGATGAAGAGCTGAAGACCAGAGGGGGCGGGTGGGGTGAAACTCATAGTCATCTTCTAGCATCTGGTGAGCGGCTGTTCGGTGGGCACCTGGTGCATTACGTGCACCACCTCATTGCCCCAGCTACCGGAGTTTGCAGGCTGGAGGACGACTATGTCTTGCAGGACGCCGGGCTCTGCGAAGGTGAAGAACGTACTTGTAGAATTCAGTGGTGAAAACTTGGTGGCCGAGGAGCCCTCCAAGCCTCGGATTCATACCGTGATTCACTGATTGATGCATGATGATGCATGCTATGCTACTGCAGTATGGTAGCTTCCTCAGCATAATGAAAAGAGAAGCGACCGCAATTCCGGCACGGATAAAACAGGACAAGGTCCTTGGTACGGGCATGTCCGGCAGCGTGCAGCTGGTGGCCAGTCCGACGGCTCAACGCGAGGGAGAAGGGATTTTGTCTGAAGCGAGGGAGGTCAACAGAGGAACACGCATGCATTGGAGACCACTCTGAAGAAGAAGAGGAAGAAGAAGAATACATCTAATTGTCCTCTCTCACCTGTGAATTGTTGTTCTTGGATTGGGTTTGACCGGAGAACAAACATCGCGCCGGTGTCACGATTCAAAGTCCAACGAAACAACGTGGCGACTCCGCCAGATGCGACTCCGCTATAGGGCGAGGAATCACATCCACTGGGCCGGGTGAGTTCAACCGAAACCCTGATGGACCTCTAAGTACCTCCTGAGAAGGTGTTTGGGGTGGGTTTGGAGGGTCCAAATACCTTCTGAGGAGGTGCTTGGAGGTGTAGGGGACAGAAGTTCAAGAGGTCGCTCAGTCCCAGTGATGCCCCCCCCCACTTGTCGAGTGTTTGTAGATGTCTTCCAGATTGCCTCTCAGGGTTGGGATCACAGGAAGTAAAGGCACCCAGACACGACCTGTCTGGGACTGGCATAGTTACCTACATTGACGCCGGGTCAACCACCCCAACTGATGGGGAGTCATATGTCAGTCCCATGATCCATGTCGTGTCTGGGGTAGCTTGGCCTTGTTGTTGTCACCTCAGGCACTGTGGATTTCACCTAAGGCACCGTGGATGGATCGTTGTATGCACTCAAGATCTACGACAAGGACAGCATGAACGACAGTGCCCTGGCAGCTTTGGCTCTTGGACCTGCTCAGTCAACCGCTTCAAAAGTTTGGGCCGTTTGCTTTTGCACACCGCGGTCGAGCATTTAATAGCTTCTCTGGAACTATTTGAGAGTGGATGAACCCCTTGTGATCACTGGACCTTTGCGTGGTGACCGAACAGCCAATCCCCCGTGCAGCGGGACCTGCGCGTTTCGGAGGTTTGAGGGACACGACACGATACGAGACATCTCGAGACCAATCTAAAGGAACCACTGGGTCATCGACTTTCTCTCCTGACGGTACTGTAGTAGATTGCTAGATTCTAGATATTGCTAGGTGTTTTTTGGGTCGGAGTGTCCACCCCAATCTTCAGACGCTCAACCTATACAAAGTAGCCTGGTGAACCTGTGGACTCTTGGTCGAGCATGGTGCTACTCTTTGCTACTACAATTTCTTTTGCAGCCTTGTGGATTGCCGGTGGTCGGACGGATGGACTCAAAGGGCTGCAGTCGATCCGCTCAAGAAGTCAGAAAGCACGATCCAAATCGATCCAAGGTCGTTACAAGCTTTTGAAGCAGGAGGTTGAAATTTACCTCAGCGTAGATCACCCAAACATTGCGCGTCTGCCGCTTGGAGAGACGATCCGCGGCGGAAGGTTCCATTTTCGCAGACCCAAAAGAGGTGCTCATGAATAATGAACACAACTTAGTCATTGCATTAGTTAATGAAGAGACAGACATACCCTTCGTTTTAGAAAGCTTGCTAAACCTTGGGCTCCGAAACGAAACCCCTTGTTTCGGCCTCAGGCGCCCCAAACGGAAATCAGAGGCAAACGGAAGGGTAGTGCACAGAAAGGCTTTTGCAAAAACCTATATTCTACTAACATCGTGGAAGGCGCGACATTCGTAGAACCCAAGGCTATTCGTGGACAGTTCGTGGAATGGTGGGCCAGTAGGAGAACTGACTGCAACGAAATCCCAGAAACCTTCGAACTTCGTGGAAGGTATTTTTGATGCAACTTCGTATAAGCGATTTTGCTGACACCACACACCCTCCACACACCCTCCATTTAGCCTTCAAACACACCGCAGGATCCGGCCCCGTTTAGTCCGCCCTATGCCGGATCCCCACGGCATCGGCGGCTCAGGATCGACGTTTACGAGTGGGGCCAAGGCATTGCGCTCATCATGGAGCCACTTGGGCCGATCGTGTTGGGCCGATCGCGCCAAACGCGCGGTGACCGTTTGGCCCAGCGTGTAAGGCTTAGGGCCCGTTCACTCGTCACCCAGTTTCTGGGCAGGATGGGATGAACGGGTGGGTTGTGTTCGATCTGAAAAGGCATGAGACTCAAGATGTCCATACCATGGCGTGTTGGGATCACTGATAACTAATTATAATAGCGATATTGATAACTATTGATAATACTGAATGAATTATAACTGAGAACCCTACCTCTCCCTTTTTGAACGCTCCCTGTGTCTTGCTATGTCACGCTCGAATCGAGGTATTGTTCCGGTGGTGAGCTGCAACAGCGTTGGAACAGCGAAGCCTACGAGGAGGAAGATGCCATGGAGGTCCGATGGACCCCGATGGA